CCCCCCCCCCCTCCCCCTCTCTCTTTCTCTCTGTCTCGCTCTTTCTCCCTCTCTCCTCCACGTGATATGTTATAACTGATCACTTTCTTTTCAGTTTGATTTGGACTTTCGAGAAAAAAAAAAAAAGAAAAGAAAAAAAAAACATCTCATTGCGCAAGAATCCAAACAAAAAAGGCACATCATGACAGATTCAGCTTTGAATCAGACATATTGTTTTAAATTATGAAGTGGAACCTGCTTTTTCTTTATTATTATTAAATTATTATTGTGCAATGGTGTTAGACATTAATGCGGAAGTTTTATGCATTTCTGTTGTGGGTTAGTGTTTTTGATATTATGTCTTCATCACCTTTAGATACCTTCAGGTTCCTATGGTACTTGAATATAAGATGCAACTCAACTTTTTCTTTCTTTAATTTGGACTTATCCGTCTCTTCTCTATACTAAACAGATTGAATTAGAGTTTTCTAAGAAGCCGTAAAAGCTTTGTGTTCCAAGTGTAATTTGATTCCACAGCAGCTTTTGCCAGAGGCAATGATTTCTATTAGATATGGTTGATCAGTTCATCCCATTAAAGTCAATGAATGTCCTTTTTGCTTTCCAGTGCTTGTTTTATAAAGCCCTAATAAGGCTGCTTTTGGGTGGATTTTATTTGTGGAGATTGAACAATGGCAGTGAGGGTAAAGCAAAGCAAATGAGCAGGTAACAAGAAAAGGATGATGGGTCGGTGTTGTTTTCTTTTGAATTAGTCCTAAATTTCTGCTATATTCTGTGTTGGAACATGCAGGTGAAAGTATTAAAGTGTTTTGATTTATTGTTCAGTGAGTTGGTCTCTTCACATTTGACTTCATAGATATTTTACAGGTGACTGAGAATGTGCCTGATGTAAAAATGGACTTTTATCAAGATGTATTTATTATGGGGGTGTTGTATCATGCTTCACTTTTTACCGTAATCTTTTTGTATTTTTATTATTATTTGATATGTTTGAGAGCAGTTTTTGAAAACACATTTTGGTTTCTCCCAAAGTTTGAGGCCAGCCAGCTTGACCCCAGCATCATAATTTAATGAAAGATGACACTGGCACAGTAAGAGCCCCTGGGAATTTGACCTGAGCAGTAGCTTGGTGCTGTGGTAAGGCATTTGTACTTATCAAAAACCTGCACTAACAAAACATTATGATTTATTATTGGTCTAGAAAAAAAAAAAAGACCTTAGTAATTGAAAAAATTTCTGACTTAAATAGACTATCTTTGTTGGTTTGTTAATTGCAGGGCTTTAAAAAGTCACTTGAAATTAGGATATGTAAAAGGTTAAGAGCATCTAATATTATACCTGTTACAAAAATAACTTTTTGATGAAACAGTTTGGAGGAATAAATAATTATAAACTAGTTTGACCAGCTAACTGTCTGAGCAGAGTCCAAATTGGATTGTTGTCATCTTAAAACAACTCCACTCTCAAAGATGGCATAGTAGTTTATTTAAATGCTATATAAAAAAAAATAAAAAAAAACTTTACAGTGTATTACAGCTATTATTCTGGCAAAAAAATAATAATAATAATAATAATAATGTTTTATCTATCCTTAATTGCTCTGAGCTGCACAATAATTCCTTTATCTACACTAGTTGCTGCTACCAATAGTTGTATTTACAAATACCAGAACTCTAAAAACTGCTGGGTTTAAAAAAAAGCAGCACCATTAGTTACCCAAAGCTTGGACTGAGGCAAACCTGTGTAGTTTCAACTCAGCACATTGAGTTTGTTTTTCTTTATTCAACTTTATTTATTTATTTTTCAATTAAATTCAGTTGTATTTATATAGCAACAAATCACAATGAGCCTCAAGGACCCATTTACAAGAGGAACTTGTTTTAACAAAGAATGATGACAACAGTAGACAATCGTAAGAATAAAAAACATATACCGTAAAATGAAAAATAAATGGCAAAAATTATATGTAAAAAAAGAAACAAAAACACCTACATTATAAAGCCATATCAAATACTAAAAAAAAAAGATATGTCTGCATTGATTTTTGCATGAACTTAGCAGTTTTTTGAAGCCACTTGAGGTCAACGTCGAGAGATTCAGATCTTTTTTTTGCAAGATATTCCAGGAAACAGGAGCGGAGTAGGAGAAGGCCCTTTTGCCTAGTTCAGTCCGCAGTGAGGGTACACAAGTAATTATTACCTGTGCCAGCTGGCCGGCGCTAATTGCTATTAGCAGCATATATATATACATATATATATATATATATATATATATATATATATGTTTGGAATGTTTTTTGTCCTGCTGAGCTCTCTAAATTTTCAAAGATAATGCATCCATTCAAACCATCCACATGTCTGCTAGATCTCATCCCAACCAGACTGTTTAAGGATGTATTTCCCTTAATTAATAACCATGTCTTGGATCTGCTTAATTTGTCTCTAATAAATGGTTACTAATAAATGGTTATAGACCACAGAGTTTTACAATGGTTGTAATTAAACCTTTGCTTAAGAAACATAACCTTGACTCTTGAATCCTAGCCAATCATAGACCTATATCTAATCTAACTTTCATCTAAAAAATTCTAGAGAAAATAGTTGCTGGTCAGTTGAATTATCATTTGCAAAAAAAATATTCAGTTTCAAGAGTTTCAGTCAGGGTTTAGAGCTCCCCATAGCACAGAAACAGCACTGATGAAAGATACTAATGATATTCTCATGGTCCCTGACAATGGACTAGTGTCTACACTGGTTCTGTTAGACCTCAGTGCTGCATTTGATACAGTTGATCTCAATATTTTACTACAGAGGCTTGAATATGCTATTGGGATTACAGGAACAACTCTAAAATGAATTAATCATATTTATCTGATATATTCCAGTTTGTAAATGTAAATGATGAATGAAACTTCTTCATATAACAAAGTTGCTCATGGAGTTCCTCAGGGTTCAGTGCTTGGGCCAATACTCTTTAACTTGTATACACTTCCATTGGGTAATGTTATTAAACGGCATAGGAGAAATGTCCATTGTTATGCTGATGATACACAGTTACATTTGCCCATGAAACCCAATGAATCCAATCAGTTACTTACACTACAAGCATGTCTTAAAGACGTAAAAACCTGGAAGACCCTAAATTGTCTGCTCTTAAACTAAGACAAGACAGAGGTTGTTGTTTTTGGGCCTGAGCTTCTTAGGAATAACTTCTGCAGTCATCAAAGTTCATGCTCAATGTCTTGAACCACTTTGACTGTGTTTGCCTTGGAGGAGTCGACAGGGAAGAGGACAGCCCCCAGAAATCATCTTATCACCAGCAAACTGGTTGGTCCACTGTAGGAGTGTAGTGCTTGGTGGAGAAAACAGTTTGTATGTGACTTCTCAGATTGACGAAACCCTTCAGATGGAGGGCGAAACATCTCTCAACAAAAAAAGGAACTGTCTAGATGACCTGATTGAACATTGTTGGAACTTTTGCAGTCTTTTACTTTCTCTGAATGGCATTATTTTAGCCTCCAGTTCTAAAGTTAAAAATCTAGGTGTTATTTTTGACCTGGACATGTCTTTTATCCCCCACATTTAAAAAAAAAAAAAAAAAATACTAGAACCGCCTTCTTCCACCTGCGTAAATCTTTAAAATTAGAAACATCTTATCAAAAAATGATGCAGAAAAACTGGTTTGTGCATTTGTCACATCTAGACTGGACTATTGCAATGGTTTGCTATCTGGGTGCCCAAATACTTATTTAAAACGTCTTCAGTTAATCCAAAATGCTGCTACCAGAGTCTTCACTGGAGTTAGTAGGAGAGCTCATATCTCTCTAGTTTTAGCTTCTCTCCATTCGCTCCCTGTCAAATCCAGAATAAAATTCAAAATCTTACTTCTAACCTACAAAGTTCTCAACAACCTAGCTCCATCTTATTTTACAGATCTTATTGTTACATATTTTCCTAACAGAGCACTTCACTCTCCGACCGCAGGCTTACTTGTGGTTCCTAGAGTTTCCAAAAGTAGAATGGGAGGAAGATCATTCAGTTATCAGGCTCCTCTCTTGTGGAACCAACTTCCAGTTTCTGTTTGTGAGGCTGACACATTGTTCAGTTTTAAAAATACCTGTAGGCTCAAGTTTTTCCTTTTTGATAAATCCTATAATTAGGGTTGGACTGAGTTTCCTATCCCTTAGTTATGCTTATAGGTTTAGAATACTGAAGAACAAATTGCCCTCATTCCATCAAATGAATAATTACAAATGAATACAAATGAATAGTTTGTTTTTGTGATTATTTCTATCTTAAAATGTGTTTGTTTGTGTGTGTGTGT